GTCGTTAAATATAGGTTAATAGCTAATTCTTACCGACGGTAGGTGGCGGCTGGCTACCACGCGCGGCTAGGAGGATATTCGCCATATCACGTACAGCAGCGGGCCTAGGGGCTACTCCACGCGAATCCATAGAGAGTATCCATTTACAAAGCGAATCCTCTTCTAATTGTGTCAGTTTATAGCTAGTTAGGCGGCTATCAACGCGTAGGATTCGCCCATCAGCGCGCGCAGATAGTGTTGACTTCGGTATTGCGTATAGGCTAGCTGCTGCGCGAATAGATTTGATACGACCATTTTTAAGGTCGTTAAGGGCTAGAAAGATCTTGCCCTCTTGGCTGGCTAATTTCTGCCGAGATTCAGAGCGAATTGGTGGCATGGTAGTTGGTTGAATAGGGTAGGTTCGTAGGAAAACGCGATTTTGGATAGGGTGTCCCGCGCGACCGGGTGTCCCGGTCGGCCGGGAATTACGTTATATATATTTATAGCGAGTTCGGGATAGAACGGGAATAGAGAGATATTATCTATCTAAGCTAGTTAATACTCGTACGAGTAATAGGGTACGATTATAATTACTTTATATAGTTAGATAATTCTAGAAGATGGTATATTCTACGTTCGGAAGTAGAAGGAAAGATAAATAATATTAATATAGATTATAGCTAAGATATATTCCTGACCTAACCCTATCAAAATTTTTGTGGAATTTTTAAAAACTTACTACACCTTTTGTAAGCATCGTACGATAATAAAATTATATCAGCAGATAGTTCTAATACTAACTTAGAACTTCCTAAATTTTAAGTTTCTTACGAAGTATAGAAATAATTCCACCTTACCTCCAAAATATTAATTCCACCCTACTATATCCCCACTTTTTCTTCCTATACTTAAGCCAAAAACCCTAATTCCACTCTAGTAGGGTGTAAATACTCCTGTATTATAGGCCTGTACAGAGGCTTTTAAACCAGAGACTGTCAAAAATGCTTTCGCTGCGGCTGGTTTAGTCCCATACGAGCTAGATCGAGTCATTTTAAAGCTTGATGTTTAACTTTGAACAACCCTAGCATAATTATAATCATTTTAAGTGAAAATACATATTGCGAATATTCGACGAATTTTCATAGACTTACGAATATATTATTTGGAATCTCAATTCGCAATTACGAATATTCGCAGCAGCCCTACAAATTTTCTTTCTGGGTAGATCAGTCAGTGTCACATAGTTTGTCCTGTTTATTATCCATGGATATCCATGGATTTTATGGATACTGCCGCAGCCTAGGGTGGAGGGTGGACTGACCTTTTCCGCTCTCAGTAATGTTAAAACTAAGGTCAAAAACTCGAGTTGAATAGCACTAGGTTACGGAGACAAGGGTGTCACGATCAGCTAGAGTGCACAGGGTCTTCTCTAACTGCTAGCAGTAATCATGACTTCTGAGCTGGCATTTCTGTGGGGAACCCGTGAAGAATCCCCACTTCCCCGCCTCCACACTTTTTACCCAACTCTTAGCCAACTACAATCCTTTTAGCCAACTGCAGTCCTTTTAGCCAACTACGTTCCTTTTAGCCAACTGCAGTTTCTTAGCCAGCTACACTCCGTTTAGCCGACTACAGCCCTTTTAGCCAACTACAGCCCTTTTAGCCAACTACAGCCCTTTTAGCCAACTACAGTGCTGAGATCGGTAGCTACACCGTAGACCCCGAACTATAGAGCTGTCCCTAGAAACAGGCTCAAAAACAAGCTCTAATCGTTCAACTACCAAAGGTCACGCGCCAAAACGCACATATCCGAACCACTTCGCCTTGCGGTGAAAAAGGATAAATAGTCACTTTCGCAGATTATAAATAGTAGAACGGACTCGCGGCTTCTCTTCCAACTTCACACATCCATTCACTAGCATTTAATTCTCATCAATCATCATGAAGGTCACTGCAGCTTTTGCAGGCCTCTTGGCCACGACACTGGCCGCCCCTGCCACCGATCTAGTGACGCGAAGTATCAACTACGTCCAGAACTACAACGGCAACCTTGGTGCCTTCAGCTACAACGAGGGTGCCGGAACATTTTCTATGTACTGGCAGCAAGGAGTCAGCAACGATTTCGTCGTTGGTTTAGGCAGGAGTACTGGTTCCTCCAAGTAGATGGCCATATCCTTTAATATAGGTCTAGGATCTAACGTTTATTAGCCCTATCACCTACTCTGCCTCCTATAGCGCCTCTGGTGGCTCGTACCTCGCTGTGTACGGCTGGGTCAACTCTCCTCAGGCTGAATACTACGTCGTCGAGGCCTATGGTAATTACAACCCTTGCAGCTCGGGCTCGGCTACAAACCTTGGTACCGTGTCCTCTGATGGAGGCACCTACCAAGTCTGCACCGACACTCGGATTAACCAGCCATCGATCACGGGAACGAGCACGTTCACGCAATTCTTCTCCGTTCGACAGGGCTCGCGCACATCTGGAACGGTGACTATTGCCAACCATTTCAACTTCTGGGCGAAGCACGGCTTCGGCAACAGCAACTTCAATTATCAGGTCGTGGCGGTAGAGGCATGGAGTGGTACTGGCACCGCTAGTGTCACGGTCTCAGCTTAGGAGATAAGGGGCTTAGTGGTCAAAAGACTTGAAAGCCGAGTTCTCTTTTGAGTGGTGTGACGATCGGACTAGGGGTTTAGCGGTTTCAAATGTCGAGACCGTATATAGTGTGGCGGGCGGAGCTGTCGGCGGCCGCGTTTTCAACTCACACAGACAATTGACTCTCGTTTTCTCCGATTTTGAAGTGTTTTATAATAGTATTTACCCTGTATTTGATTAAAGATAGCCTTATTCTCTAGGTCAGCCGGCTTTTTACCCCTATCCTAATTTGAATTCTCTACAAACTACCTCTTTTTGAAGCTATTCACAACACCCCTCCGCTCCTATCTACACAATACAGTGGCTGACCATCTTGTCTAGTCCCCTATCTGAATTCTGACTGCTTGCAAACAGCCGAAGAACTAGCAGCGATTAGAAGATATAACATATTAGGATTGAAATAATCTTATGTCATAGTATAGTAACATGGTACAGTTAGCAAGGCTTGTTGGAGGGCTATTGCATTGAATGGCAGGCGGGCTCTTGGCGTCCAAGAAGATGAAGTAGCGAGCACGCAATAGGTGATGCTGTGGCCGGTCTCTAGGTCAGTTGGCGGAACAGAGTGGAGAATAAGACGATGATGACCCGCGGCTAAATGCTGTAGAAATAATCGTGTCAGATCAGCAGAGTCTTGGGGCCCCCGGAAGTCGGATTTCCTCCCCCATACACTGAAGGATCGCGCAACTATACCATATTAGTCAGAAGCCGGGCATGCCCGGCAGATTGCCAGGATCGTGGGTATGTACAGTAACAACTCAGGCTCGTTATAATTCCATTGGTTGGGTCGTAATTTTTTTATAATCTAATTCAGGGTCATATTGACAGGGGTACACCGGAAAATTCCCATAATAGACTAGTGCATCTTGGCAGTGGGACTAAAGAATCTCTCAAAGAGTGGAGGAGGGTGCACCATTTTGGAGACGCACTGTAAAGTAAACGTACGCTTCTACCAGGATTAGCTCTATAACAACGTAAGAACAGCCTTTTGTGTGATGACTGGCGGGCGTACAAGAAGGCTGCGCTTTACGTGGGACGAACTAGGGAAGTGGTTACGGGGACCAGTGGGAAGGTGAAAGCAGGCAGACAATCTTGCCAGGTGGCCGCCAGGTTGCCAGATCGACCAAGCGATACTGTAGTTAGTTAGTTACTAGGGGATTCGATTTATCATCACAGTATTTTTACAATAAGTCCAGGACCTGGTACAGTCATTAGCACCACAGTTCTGCCTAACCAATCGAGCGGTGACCCTAAACAGGATTAGCGTATCTCGGGTTCATTTCCCGGGAATCAAGTCGAAAGAGTGGGGGTCAAACTGAATTCGAAAACTGCTGTAGTAGCGGAGATACTGTAAGTAGCAAGAGTGTGGAGGTATCACTGATTTCGAAAACTACTGTATGTCGAGACTGGTACTGCCAGAAAAGGATGAATCCTCAGCCTCCAGAACCTAGGGCAGGTAGGAAGCCTTTCCTACCTCTCCGCCGACCGAAATGAGTGAGCAAGGGTAATGACATATTGATAGTGCTGCGGCCTGTGCCACGCGCCTGGCACAATAACGACAGCTGGTTTATCCATTGCCAACGTATTGCGAAATGGGAGCTGAGCAAAGAGACAGAGTTTCAAATGAATTCGGCAGTCCCAGGGGGATGTAAGAATTTATATACTGCAACTTTCTTCCTCGCCAGGAGCATCGGTTCCGCCCTTTTTACCTTTACTGCCGAAAGTAGCTCGGCTCCGCTCTCCTGGCTCCACTCCTTAGATGAAGAATCAGATGCTACTCATTTTATTCATAGAGTCGTCCCCTACATGAAACCCTTAGTTCACGAAGGTTGCTTAAATAATTGGCAAATATACAGGGTCGGGAGAAATACCAGAAGCGATATATCACTGTTCTTGATGCATAATTCTCTCGTATAATCTTCAACTAAAATCAAGAAACAGAAAAGATGATTTTTAAAAAAGCGGGGACACAGATCAGGTCCCTCCTCAGTCAACCTGAATGCATTTTTTTCGAGTAACTACCAGCGACATTCATCAAGTCTGCCGCGCTCGCAAATTTTCATAGATTAAAAGACCTATCACGGACCTTGAAGAGGCGCGGGGACCGCAGCTTTCTGAGGAGCAATCAGGAACCAATTATTCCACTATCGCTAAGCACTAGCGTCCTCACGTACGTTTCGGTATACTTAGGCACGGCCCGAAAGCTCCGAGGAAAGCATTTTGGAAAAGGAACCAGTAACGGCCTGCGGCTAACCGTCACGAACAATACTCCATTATACGCCAAGACGGATCGCGCGACACAGGAAACAGCTACCAGTCTATCAGCACCAATATTAGATGCTAAATTACCCTTTCGCAATTGACATGATAAAGACTTATAGTTGAAGGATCAACCTTTCTTGCTAGATTATGGTAGTTTCACAGCAGCCACAGTAGTGTTCCTTACTCTGATTCCATCCACTGCAACCGCCTCTGCTATTGCATGGGAATAGAATTTGGGAGTTGTAAATGTTGTCTGGAAGCCTTGCTTAGGAGCAGAGCCCAGCAATTGCATTGGACCAGATTCAGTATTGCTCCCGTAGAAGTTCCAGCTGTTGTATTCAGTCGCTCCGTTCCAACTTGCCCAAAGAGTGACTGGGGAGTTCGATGAAGATGCTTGAGCAAACAGGTTTGGAGGTGCAGATGGTGTTGCTTTCCAGTCCCCTTTGAATGCACGATAGTTCATTGCATTCTTGTCTTGGAAATTGGCGAAATAAACAACTGATCCATCTGCAGTATGCTCGGAAACAGATGCATTTGATCCCCATCCAATAAACACATTCCCATTAGGAAGAACTTGCGTGTTCCCCTGGCTAGATGAATGTAAGCCCATTCCCGGCGCCTCAAAACGCTTCAGAACGATTGAAGTGTTCGTTTGATGATCAAGAGATACAATCATCCCGGCTGATGTAGATGATGTGTTTCGGTAGTCATCGCTTCCATTATCAAAAAATGATAAAACCGTGTGTGTGTCATTCATCTTTAGGAAGCGTGCGTCATGCTGCGATGAGAAATTATAGTCAATCAATGTGAACGAAGATTGCTTGCCCCCTAGCCGCCAGATTAAAGACCCATCATGACCTGAAACTTTGTAGATAGAGCTGGTATGTCTAGATGAGATCAGGTAATCACCCTCATCGGACTTATCCACCGAGTTGATATGGAAATAGTCCCAAGGGGTGGTATTACTCAGCCCGCTACCCACAACTGGGTTGAGGTTAAGGGGAACATAAGTTTCGGATGGAGGTACGTGATCCAATGACGCCCATTGGAAAAGAACCTCCCCGTTGGTGATATTGATCTCTTGAAAGATTCCGTCCATGACCCATCCTGTACCAGCCGGAATGCCGTACGATACAAGATCATATTGCTTTGGTTGGTATATGGTAATAAGGACTTTGTTCCCCTCAAAAATCTTCAGCTCATGCATGTCGCTCATCTCCAGATTCCCCGCGCTCCGCACGGTGGCAGCAAGCTCATAAGAGCTATTGAGGAATATATTACTCCCTCGGGCGTACCCTCCAATTTGGGTTCCTCGGAAGTAACAGAGGTGATCGGAATTTGCATATGAACAGACTCGAAGATCATGAAATAGATCGGTAGTCGAACCACTTGAGCCACTCCATACGAGCTCCTATATTTAGTCAGTAAATTCCTTTGATCTCCCTAGGGCTTCAATCTCACCCCATTCATGTCGTAAATAAATGGGCCTGGGAGCTCTGTTCGATAGGGCGCCAAGAAGAGGAGCCCTGGGGTCACAGTCTCTTGGTCTTTTATGCTCACGTGGAGTAATGGTGCATGTATATCAGGTCGCTACCGGAGAAAGAAAACAAATGAGCACATTTGTACAAGTCAAACGGCCACGAAGTACTCACAGATTGATAAGATATCCATGTTGCAGCCCGTGTAGCACAATGAACAGTGAGAGCTGATGTTAGCAACAGGGCAGTGGCGTAGGTGCCAAGACAATAGCCTTTGCAGTGCATCGTTCCTTTTCAGGACTTAATTTGCCGATTTGACGGTTAGTCAATGCTCAATAGTGAGATTTGCGACCTTTTAGTATTCTCGCAACTTATACTACGGTGCATGTTAATATTACGTCATGAGAAAACTTTATCACCCCATACGGCATGATTTCTTTAGCCCAGAGAAGAAAAAAATGTCTCCACTATCCACGGTAACAGCATTCAGTCAAGATGGTTAAATTCGTCTCCCGCCCAGAAAAATTGAAATTAGAAACCAGCTCTTATAGCCTATTTATCCAGTTTCCTGATGGAATCCTGGTTTTCTTACCATGCCGATCGAGGTCGACGGTACGCGTCGGTTAGTTTTCAACGCCTTGCGCAGCCGCAAAATACGGAACTCGTCCATCGCAATATTGCCTTGTTTGATGTTGCTCTCAAGGGTCTGACGAGCGAAGATTCATCCTCTCCTTGGCCTCATTGGTTGCAAAGAGATAGTCAATTTCCTCCAACGTGAGACCTGTCGTTTCAGGGCAGAGAAAATAGACATAAGCAACTACGATTAAGTACGGATAGGTGGGATCTGCGAAGTCATGTAGCTCTTATCATTTTTCAAAAGTCGAGACTGAACTTTCTCTTTTTTTTTTTTTTTTGATCATACGAAATCGAGCCGTCCATTATTCTTGAATCTTTTGGTCCATCGAGTATAAGACATCTATTATTAATTCTAAGTCGCAGCCACAATAACAGGATCATATTAGTCCGTGATAATCCTAAACCGTTGTTATGAGGGTGGACCTACAGGCTGACACTTGCACCGTTTCATTACATGAATTTAAGCATATGATAATCAAAAAGTAGCAAATTCAGAAACTCAAGCGAGTGGAGCTTTCCGATTCAAGGCGGCCTACTCATATGATGTAGGTCTACCAGGCTACGGAACATTTCTTCCTTACTTGTACTTTCCAGATATTAGAAAGCGTTTTAGATGTTCTACCGAGATCTAGGCTAATTTATGGATCCACTTGGCACTCTAAGACGGTTCATTAGTCACTGGAACAAATCTCACCCTGTTTCTGATTTAAGCTTTCTCAGTAGCCAACGGTCATGCCAAGAAGTGAAGATTTGAGAGTCTTCTTGGTTGAACTAATCACATCCAAGCCTTGATTAGTCGGTCTAACGGTCCGCTGGCCGATAGCAGATACTTGGATGGAACCGGAATAGAGATATCAAAGTTTGATATTTATTGCGCTTCACTTGGAATGAGTTTAGTATTACCGTACGCGGAGCCTGTGGATCATTCCAAGAGTAGGTGACCTCACCCGGACGGAAGTTACACATGTCCCTCTTTCACCATTTCGCGGTTCTTTAAAGTTCATTTGTTCAAAGAAAAATCCAGTATTAAGCTTTGAAATAAGAAATGGAGCGAACATAGCCATTACAGGCCTATATTGTCCGAAGTAAGTCCAATTTTATCATTACTTTCGTATTTTCTGTTGCTACTTCAGCAGCCGCTGGGAACTCCGAGCCTGGAACAGTTTCAAATGCCTACTGCACTACGCTTGGGGTAACACATTGAAATCGGGTTGGTTCCAATACGAGAAAATCGAACCAAAAACAACTACCTTTTTCGTCTTCAACAATGCGGTACAGTACTGATGATCGTGAAGGCTATGAACAATCTAGATGTGTGGTGACGCGCAAATAGAAATCTAGAATCAGTCATCAGTTTTCATATTCTTGAAGCACAGTTCCTTACTCAGCACTGTTTGCCACTTTCGTCTTTTTAAAGTCGTAACAATCTCTTAAGATTCTATCTTCAAACCCACCAAGAGAGCAACGTGCCTTCAAGCCCAACTGCCAGTCGACGAAACAAACCCAAGATCACCAAACCGTGAAGATGAAGTCTCCTCTGTACGTTTTGGCCGTGCTGCTTCCTCTTGCCACCCAGCTAGTCGCCGCTTCCCCGACCGCAGAATTTGATGAGTTCGAGTCTCTTGAGGATAGACAAGGTGGGTCTAATTCCTGCAAGATCCGAACGGGCTTCTCGTATAGGAAGTACCCTTGCGACTCGAGCGATATTATTGGCCGTGAGAACCCAGGGGGCCAGTGGCAGGCAACTTGCCGCTATAAGTAAGTCCAAATCAAAAGTCTGATTATTGGAATGTGAAAAAGCTGAGTCATATCAAAGGAACTTTTATAAGACAAAGAAGGGATGGGTGCGCAGCTCTGATAAGCCTAAAGCTTGCCGTGAGTTCTCTTTAATATCATACCGTCAAAACTCTACTGATTAGCATTAAAGGGGGGAGTTTCGAAACTACTCAGTGCCCGAACCCTTCGTTCACCTAACTCCTTACTTTGGGCGAATCCTTTACATGACGAGTTAAGTCCGTTCAGTACAATTGCACCTTGCCTTGTCATTTCCAAGGCTATTCAAAAGTCAAAAGCTTCAATATCGTTTATCCGAGAATGCCTCAGATAAATACACTTCTCCAGTTACTTTTCCTAAGATTTTATCGGAATTAGTGTTTTCTCCATGCAACGTGTCTTGATTTCTGTCTATAAATTGACACCAAATGACATTTCCTCTTGCTTCTTGCTCTTTTAAAACCAACTGGATTCTAAACCATAGTTCCAAGATCATAGTTAAACGCATATAGCCTTATTCACAGCCTTATTACCAAGTCATCGACGAAGTACGCGCATAATAGAAAGAAATAGACTACATTCTATGTCTAATACCGGGTCAGGTATGTTGAAAGCACTTCTTAATGTAGTACTTTGCTCGTAGTTTATTTTACGTTTTTCTGGCGGACTTGCCATAGCCTTGGGCGAATGGAGTGCCAAGCCATGCCAAGAAATTACCGCGAAAGGGAAAACCTGATTTTAATCCGTCAATGGCTGTAAGTCGTTGTGCTCGCCATTTGGAAGTTCGGACAAGGGCCGATAAACTTGGAGGCTGGTGTTAATATTGACTCTGAATTGCGATTGCGTACCGAGCGGATGCTACCCGTGGACAGAGATGCTCCGTGGATAGGCTTATAAAGACATCATAACCGTATTAACGCTAGGTGAAGTGGTTTGGGAGGTTTGGAAATAGCTAACTTCGAGAATTATCCACCATCGAATTAGAAGGATGGCGGCATTAAAGCGGCGGTGGGTAGAGACATATCTAGCTCTCAGCGCTCCTTCCCGCTAAATACCGGGACCCGACAGACTGTGCTTGTCGAAGCTTGGCAAGTCTTGGCGCTCCGTTTGCAGCCAGTATTACTGGTCATGCGACTATGTATCTTGTAATTCCAGGTAATTTTGCCCGAACATATAGAAACAAGATTCTAGACAATGTAAAAGTTTTGTCTGTGATTATCTTGGCCATAAGACCATAGTCTAGGCCTCTAGATCAGGCGATACAATCTGAAGCAACCGTAAACCGCCAAGACACCCGCTAATAGGTATTAGCTATAAGAAATAATATACATATACTGATTATTCTCTACTTAGTACACTTTAGACCTTCAAAGTGCTTTAGTGAGCCTAGGGAATTATTTTCAGAACTGCTGTGGTCCGAGCTTAGGTAGTCCTTAATATGGCCTACTTCAGTAAGTTCAGACTAAGAACGAAACATCAGTTACCTAATAAATTAACGATAGTAAGCGCGTAAGATACAGTGGCGCCGCAAAAGTTTGAGACCACCCCTTTTGACCGCCAGCCTCTCCGCTTTCCTATTATAGCCTACCCTACCTCGCGTAGCCGCGTAGATTCGTGTCGCGTTTCATACTATTTTATAATCACCCAATGCCTCGCACATGAGCTTTACTAGGGCCTCTAAAGCCTAGGGGGCCTACCCCTACTACTCCTAGAGATCCTATCTCTCCTCCGGCAGCGCTGCTAAGACGCAGAAACTGCGAATTAGACGTCAATTTACGAACGCAGATTACTACCTTAAAGGAGATTGCAAAGTGGTCTTATAGTTAAATTCATAAGCAGTTTCCGCATATACCACTATCAACTATCAAAATAACCTGTCTCCGATCTCGAATTCGCTAAAAGGAGGAGTCTCTTAAACGATCTAGCCGCCTAAAGATCCTAGATAAAGACGACCGTCAAAAGATCCTACAGAAGATCTATAAAGAACCTCGAGTTTCATATAAAGATCTACTCGCCGAGGTTAGTTATAAGTGTAAGAAAGACTCTATTGCCCGCCTTTTATACATTAAGAATATCCGGAAGTGGCGGGTTATAAAAAGACCCTACCTTAAACCCGAGTATACTACCGCTCGAATTTTATAGGCTTCTCGCTATTAAAACTATATAAAAGAAGATTTTGAGAGAGTTTTCTAGTCTAATAAATGCACTATAGAGCGTAGCTTCGGGCTTCGGCTAAAGTATAGCTTTATTCGTCTAGGAGATTAAGCAGCCTAAGGCGAAGTTTAACCAACACCGTATCGCGGATTCTACGTAAAGTAGATATTTTAGGCTACTTTCTCTAGATCACTTCGTCGAAGCGGTTTAATAGCCCTTTATAGAGATCCCGAATCGGCCGCTAGAGGCGTTAACCGCTTTATTATTCTTAATTTATACTAACGAATCCTACCGACTTTGCTTATCGATCTAGATGCAATCTTTTAGTAAGATAACGCTCTAACGTACACTGTACGTATCGTCCGCGAGTTTATGAAAGGATTAGGACGTGAGATTATGATTTGGCCACCTTGTTCGCTAGATCTTAATCTAATTGAGAATCTGTGGACTTTACTGAAGCAGAAAATCTATGAAATTCGACCTGACCTACTTCATATAGCGAATAATGCAACCACGTTAGATATTTTGATTGAAACAGCAAAGGAAGTATGGCAAGAAATTAATTTAACTATATTAGAGAGGTTATCTGAGAGTATGCCACGTCGGGTGCAGGCAATTATCGATTCTAATGGCTGGTATACTAAATATTAGTTATTCAATGTGATTTTACGAGGTTTTTACACGGCAGAATTACTGGCAAAAAAGGGCGGTCAACCAGGGGTGGTCTCAGACTTTTGCGGCGCCACTGTAAATACAGTAAGTTTCAACCATCACAAAAAAATATATGAGATTATTTCAACAACTACGTAAGATGGAAATAGCCAATAGATCTCAGTCAAAGCTTCCGATTTAGAAATTCAGAGGCCTAGCGATGTTACGGTCAGTGGAATTGAGACGGATTCGGTGCATTCAACGGAGCAACTAAATATAGAGGAGATAGGAAGGCGGCGTTCTATGTAGCCGTGTGGAAGGCTTGTTTGTTGTCGGCTTGATGAATATTCTATTAAACACCAAAAACTAGTTGACCAGTGTGCTACTCGTCCCTTGTCCTCCAGTTCGTCCTCGATCGGGCTAACTATGCTGAGATACTATTCGATACATTACCAGAATGAAAATTTCCATGCTTCTTGTCTTCATTGAGGTTGTGCCCGTTTCAATTATGCCTGTCCTAGCTACCCGTACCCGAGCATAGAGTAGTATGTTCTCATATCTAATGGGGTACGTAGAAAGTAAGAAATCCCCTGCAAAATGTGCCCGAAATACAGAAAGTTCAAGAATGGCACACAGCTTTATTTTACTTATCTGATTCTCATTGTCACAATATTTATGCACAAATCTTCGTTCTTGTGATCATGCTATTATCGACACTCGAAAAGGTTATTTCATGGTTGGTCCTCCCAAAGGAGTTCCCTACCATGAAATGACGACACTATTCTGCCTAGTTCTAGTAGTTTTAGTATTTTGATGGTGATGGGGTCAGGATTGTGCTTATTGTGGAATGTTAACTAGTCACGGGCTTGATCCCTCTAATTGCTCATTATCATATTTCTCAGTGGCTTCTCCCTGGCGGAACTCTTATATTTCTCAATCTATTGTTACATTGTTATTCTAAGATTCATTGCGCTTCTTAGCTTACGAGGTATAAAAATTGGGTTCTACATAAATTAGGTTGTCCCCCACGTTGTTCTTGACACTTGAATCATGAAGTCTCAGTAAGTCCTCGGGGATAGTACAGCCTTGAATTCCTACCGTTGAAAATAATGTACTGACCGTAACGTGGAACGGAAAGTATCAAAGCCCCGGAATGAGAAGAATATTGTTTCCTACCCGGGCTAGCTTTATAACGTAAATCAAGTGCTTTATGCTTACTGGTAGCCGCTGGCGAGCTGAGCACGAAGTCAACGACATATCGTTTTAGAGCGAGAAAGTAACTCTAAATTGTGGACAAAGATAAAGCTGGCGGGGGTCACTATGGATCACGTGGACTGCCATACAGATAGGTCAATACGTATGGCAACACGGTATAATAACTATGATTGCTTTTGATAGCATAGATAGGTATTAAGGAGATGAGGGTTTATAGGGCTTCGTTAGAAAACATCGAAGGAGCACAAACACTTCAGAGGAGGATGAGATATTGGGAGGTGACTATACTTAGTGGGAATCTTTTTCCAGTGCCAGATGCTTACTTTCTCGGTGCCCAGCTCTTTTACTTATCATCCATCAAAAACTGCAAAAGAAGTTTGGAAGCTGACTTGGTCACAAATTTATTATTCTCATCAAGATCCCGTCAGTCTTTATACTTGGAATTGTGTGGGAGGGGGGGCAGACCTCAGTGTGGATCTTCTATCTGAGAGCATGACATTACATCCTCGAGCTGAATCATAAGATTGAATTGTCCTGTTGTACCCTGAGATAACTCAGCCTGTGTTTAACGATGTATAATGATCGATTCTTTTCTTATTTGAGTGGTCTTGCGCTGGCACGGGAGCCTGAAAAGTTCTTCAGAGCTGGAGCTGCCGTCATTTGCGGTTCCAAAATAGCTCGAGAGCATTTTGCTAATGGAGATCACAAGGCATCAAGTGTCCTTCGATGATCAATAAAGATGTGGTCAGGTTCAATGCTCGAAAGGATCGGTCTTTCGCGAATCAATTCCAATCCGACTTCGGCACAACTCCATTTGCCGAACGAGTGCAATAGACTATTACGAATCAAGACGGACAGCATGCCAAGTTAATCTCTAATAATAAACATATTTTAACTGTTATTGAAAGTGTCGGTGTCATTCTCACACCTAGTAATCATTCCGAGTAGCTATAGAGGGATTGATAAGGACAGAACCAGAGAGCTATCCGTGTGACCCGAGCAAGTTGTAATATGTTAGCGATGTAGTTACTGGCACAGGTCTGCGGTCAGGTTGACTGGCTGGGGGCACCCGTAGACCTTCTTGTGAGCTGGGGTGCTGTAGCAGGCGGCATCATTTGCCGCACAATCAAAGGCTTCACAACCGTCACCGGGACTGAGAGAGTTGGGATTCGCTGCGAAGGGATTACCCCACTCCGCACTCAGTTCATCTTGAAAAATGATAAGGTAAGATAAGAGACTTCTAGCTAAGAGGTAGATTGCTTCCACTCACAGTAAGCGTAGTCCGGGTTAGATGAGAACGAATAGCCAAAAAAGAGAGGCATATCCAGCGTCTTTGTCTTGGCAATCTTAACAGTCTGCATGTTGCATCGTCAATCAAATTTCCTTGCTATATTAAGTGATATGAAGACCAAACACGATGGAGTGACGAACCGAGCCAGATGCTCTAAATTTCTCGGAAAAAGTGCCCCCACTAGGAATGGTGGTGAGAGGGCCAGGAGTGCTGCCATCATAAGGGAATGACTGTACATAGATCGAGCCAGCACAGTGGTTTTGCACAACGGCATTCTGGGCCGATGTCAGGCTGAGGAGGGCACAAAATACGATCTGGGAAGTCTTCATGTTTGTTATTTTGCTTGTTATCTTATGATAGATGCTGATATCATTCCGACGCCCTCTCGACGAAGGAAGGAGTTAGTGGCCTTTAAATACGTCCGATCCGACCACATATGGCACTGAGGATGTAATGATGTCAACCCTAGAGGATTTCCTTGATCTAAGACACAGTACCAATTCCAGGTCCTGGATTTGTTAGGCCACCGTCGGGTCCTGTCCCACGGCCAATCAACACGATTGCGAAGTGAGACATAGGTATCACTGCGACTGCACATGCTCCGCAATCGAGAATAATTTACCTGGTAACGTTACATCTACCCCGCAACCACGCTAATTTCTCAGCCCTGTCGTGTACCTTCCGTCCATGATTTTCTACGGAAAGTAAAGGCTGATTCAAGCGGTGTAGAATAGCCCCAGAGCCAAGGAAGCTACACTGGTCTCCGAGGAATTGAAACATGCACCCACAGACTCCATTATGTCATTGTTCCGCATTGCCATTGAATTGGTTTTCAACAGCGATTGCCCTGACCCATACATTTTGATATGCTGGGAAGGCTTTCCCAGACTTTCCCAGTGTATCATCGCCAGTTTTACCCCTTTTTATATACTAAAAGAACTACATTTTTGATTTAGACTCCTGAAGTAAGGGTATTGCCTACATCCCATTTCATAAAACACACCAAATTTGGTATTCCACAGGATAAATCTCTTATCACTATAAGACACATCTCCAGTCTTCGACGATAGATGCAAAGGGTCGTCTCGCTCTAAGGGCCAGTGTAACCACCAGAATTTATACCGTTAAGAAGATGACATTATTGATTACCATATAATGGTGCAAAAGAAAATAGGCATTAGCTTTAAACTTGATGTTCTTATCGTACCTCGGTCATGAGTCAATAAGGGGTTCTCAGCTCCGCTAATTATGATTTTATGACAATGATGCGACGGTAATCTTTGAATATAGCATGCAGAATAATTTAGGCATGAAGTCTAAACCATTGTTTCAGGTTAAGTACACTGTAGTTATTTTACTGAAGTGTCGGTGACTATTGTTCTTCTAGCCTCTTTTTATTGTTATATATGGAGCATTTTGGAGCTGTTGAGGATGTCTAGAGTAAACCTCAAGGATCGAGATGTGGGCCGTGTGATGAACAGTAAATTATATAGTTACAACGGCTCTTTGTTGAGAACCTTCATATGAAACTCGTGGACGTGACTGGAATACAGGGGTAGAACCGTATCTGAGGGAAGGAAAGACTCATATTATTGTAAAGCTATTATATCGGCTACAGAATTCCAGGTATAGACTGAATCCATACCGTGGATATAATTTAAGGGAGAGAAACACTTATTCCATGGAGCCTAGTACCTAATGGTTCTCTGGTATCTAATAGTTAACTGGTATTAGATGGGAGGTCCCTCTAGCCTATAACAAAAGTGTAAGGACGTTACCTTCGCTAGGCCTATGAAGTTACTGAATGAATTAGAGTGAACGAAACTAATTAACTCGATTATATAGGTAAACTAATCGATGAGGTTCTAATAGTATACGCGGATTATATATCCCCTACACCTAGGCCTCTGCACGGGACCGGAAAGACCGCACCTAAGACCACATTAGACCGCACCGCGCGGTCTTTGGTCCTAGACCTTAAGACCGCTGGGCGGTCCTATATTTTTAGGGACCGTATCACTGCGGTTTGGTGCGGTCCTACGGTCCTATAAAGAAGTAAAATATCTTAAACCCTAAGGTATACATAATTTATGTAGAAGTCGCCTATATTTTTGAGTATTCTGCTTTTAAATAATATTTAATTTTATATAATTCTAAAGTAGGAGTAAAGAATAATTCTTTATTTAGTATCTATTAATTTCTAACGAAAAAGCGAGGATTGATTAATTACCTTATAAATAGCTTTTGTGGTTCTTGTTTCTATTAAAGATATATAAAATTCTTATCCTATCTTAAGCGCTTTAGAATACGCCTAGATAAACGCCTCTAAGTAGTCCTCCCTTCTTCTAAGTGGCTATTATTAGGTAGGGGAACCTTATTATTATCGTTAAGTTTAAATAGCTAATCCGAGGTAGCCCTTCTCTTTCTAAGCGCTCGCGTACTAGGAAGTTAGATAGTTTCGGTAGAATCTTTAGTAGTAGATAGGTCTTCCTCGTTATCACTAATTAGATTAAATTATTCCTCTTTCTTCTAGGCGTCCTTCTACTCTTTCTTTACTTACTTCTCTTACGTAGAAAGATACTTATTAACTAGGGTAAGCTACTCGGACTCTACGTCGAATTTTGTTATATATATAAATAATATTAATTCCTTAATTATCTACGGTTTTAGTGAGCCCCGGCGATAAGAGTAGATATTACGCGTAGAGTTAATAACCGCTTAACGCTAGAACTACTAGCTAGTGTTATAAGGACGTCTTAGGTAAGGCTTACTAGAATAGGATTTTTATTTTAGTATTCTTTCTAGAAAACGAGAGGGGTTACTTCGATAGTACCTAGTGAGGTTAGTATAAGAGAAGGAGTATATAAGAAGAGGTATATAGATTAACTTACTACTTCTAAGATACCGTATAATCTTATCTAGAGCCGTTACGTTTAACTAAAGAGATATAGTAGGTCTTAGAAGGATATTAATATTAGAGATATCTTAACTTATAGGCTAGAGAGTTAATATAGACTATACCTCTTCGTAGCGCTACTAGTAAGGCTAAATATAAGCCTCTAGCGACTACTTATAGTGAGGCCCTTAGTAAGGTTCTTATTTAGATATTATAAAGAACTCTAGTTTATTCCGTAGTCCTAGGATAGTCGTAATTATATAGAGATTACTAGGAATATTATTAGTCTTTCTATAATACTCTATAAGCTTATCGCGCGTACGGTTAAGCGCGGACTTTATTACTCTCTTCTAACTAACCTTCTTTCGCGCTAGCTACACTTTCGCCTTATTAATATATATAAATAGGGCGTTATAGATACTAAAGACGTTATAGATAGTTACGTCTATAGTTACCGAAAGAGATAAAGTGAATTTAAAGAAGGGATAAGTAATTAATAGAAGATAGTTAACTTATCGCTATTTATCTCTATCTATCTTTATATTAGCGAGGTTAAATTAGATATAGAAGTTATTAAAGGTAGACTATAATCGCTAGGTACGCCTAAGTATAAGGAACGTGGAATTCTATCGTGTTCGAATATCTTATATAGGTATAAGCTTAGGCTCTTTCGTCTAAAGCCTTATAAAGCTCTCGCGGCGCTAGGGACTTTTATTAATATAGACTACTACCTTCCGAACCTAGAATATAGTGCGAATTAGTAAAGAAAGAGAGATAATAGTAAGAGATTAGAGAGAGCTAGACCTTATTTAGAGTATCTACGATCTTTCTATTCTCTTACCGAGCTATATACCCTTTCTCGGTCTATTTAATCTCTTCCCTCTCGTTTCCTAGGTTTACGTCTATCTAACTAAGAAGCTCTTTTAAACTAAGCTATATAATATATATAATATATAATATACGAATAACCGGTATACTACTAGGTAGCTATAGGGATTCGACGACCTCTTAAAGGCTACTAAGTAATATTCCGTTATTAAATACGTTATTAGTAGTAATAGTTAATACCCTCTTAGTAATCCGATACTTCTTAAGAAGGTTAAGTAGGATAGTACTTAGATAGGCCCCCGTATATAAGCTATATAGAGGTTTAAAGCTAAGTAAGAGCTCTTAGTAATTCTACTCTTAGTTAATAAAATAGCCCGTTATTACTATAAAAGCTTAGCGAAATAGTGAGGTCTAGTAATCTAATATAATAGAGAGCTTAGTACTATTAGGAAGCTTCTATAGAAGAGTATATTAGCGTTCTTCTACGATCTCTTAAAGATAACGGCGGACTATAGTTATAGTTAGGATTTTAGGGAAGTAGGGAGTAAGCTAGGCTATCTTAAGAAGGGCGCGAAATTTAGGATGCTTAATAAACTAGAAGGGTAGCCGCGAGGTAGTAATAAAGGTAATTAACCTTTCTATCTAAGCTTATAGCGTAAATAATACTTTACGAGATAATAGATATACCTAGAAGGGGTATTTTATAGGATTAGTAATAATTAGAAAAAGGTAGACTAATTATCTATATCCCGTTCTTAATAGCCTTCCTAATATCTTACGACTAAGTCGGTCCTCTCCGATAGGTACCTACTTACGAATAATACCTATTTATAGTAGATATTCCCCGGCGCTTATCGGTAGGATAGGTAAGGATATAGTCGTAATTCTTATATATTACCTTAGGAGACCTATCCTAGATAGTAGCGACCTAGTAGAAGTAGCCCTAATATTCCGTATTACGTCTACCCTTAAAGATATTCCGTTTTATCTTACTTCTATACTCCGTCTTTAACTATTAGACGATAAAATCCTTATTCGCTATTTCTATCTAGAGGATATAGTTTTTTCTTTTAGGAGGACTAACGCGTTCGAGTGTTTCTAGGATAATAGGAGGAATTACTAGTCGGAGTAAGTTTACGTTAGGAGTAGAAGTTAGCGTTTCGCGCCCGTCGAGGTTAAATAGCCTATTAGATATAAGGAAGGAGAAAGTATCTCGTGGATTATCCTTAAAAGCCGATAAGGGATACCGATTAGAGAACTAAGAGGAGGCCTAACTCTATAATATTTTAACGAAATAAGTATTAGATAGGACGGGGGGAGGTAAAGGACTTAAGGAGATATCTACTAAAATATTTCCGTCTACTAGAAAAAGCTAAATAAAGGATTTTCTCTAGGAGAAAGCTACTATATAGATATAATTTAGATAGATTAAATTAAATTATAATAGTGATTAGCTAGTAGGCTCTACTTGTTACGAGGTAGACCGTCAGAAACCCGCGGGGGATAACGACAGCTAACTAAACCCGTAAGAAGGACGATACCTACAGAAGTCACGTGTAACCAATAAGAAGTATTATATATATGCTTCCCAGGAGCAAGATTACA